TTCTTTGAGAAAAGCTTTGAGAGTGCTGCTCTTAGCCATAGGCTAAAAAATCAAGTTATGATGCAGAGAGCCCCAAACTTGTTTGGATATGAACTTCTGGAATCCATTCAGCCTGTCTTTCTGGATGCAAAGGTTATGGCACTGAATTTGTACTGAAATCTAAGGGTTGTTACCATAGCAGCGTTTGAAGACTTTACTATAGACTTGTATTATTGCCTTTCAAAAATAACAGTAAGAGCATGTCTGTGATGTTATCATTATTTTACTTCTGATAATAAAGCAATTTGAAATACCCCATTCATTTGCAAATATAAGCAGACAGCATCATACAGATTACACATAACACAAATTGTGCAATGCATTTGGCTCCTGGAAGCAAGGTTTTACCAAGATCTGCGGATGCCTTTGTGCTCCAGAAACGGAGCGCTCGTACCGTGCTCCTCTGGCTCTACTCAGCGCATTTCCTTTCCCAGGGATGCGCTTCCTCTCCTCTGCAGAAAATTTGGCTGTGAAAGACATGCGTGCAAATGGCCACAGGTGTTGAGCCTGGAGCATGACGTCAGACATGCAAATGAACAAATGGCAGTTTATCAAGCTGCACAAGCATCTGCAAACGCCACGCATGGCTCTGACCACGGGCCAGCACTGCTTTGAGCTCCTCTGCATTCTGCTCTCACTTGCTACAATTGAGTTTGCTTGGTTTGTTTGTTTTGTTTTGTTTTGTTTTTGGTACTGAGGATCCAAGCTTTAGTTTTTAATCTGTGTAATTTCTAAAGATTCAGAGGAGAATAAGGCCACCTATGGAATATTTCGCATAATACACTCCGTTGAAGAGATAAACCACATAAAACCTCTGTGAATTACATTTTCATATGGGCCTTAAGCTAACATACAGGAAAAATGACTGAAAAAGGATTTTTGCAAACTTTTGCAAAAATAAGTCTCTAAGATGCTATTCATTCTGTAGTCCACCCCCCCCCCCCCGGTAAAAACAAACATAATGCATTTCTTTTAGAATTTAGCAGTAGTAGAAAAAGTTTGCCTCTGGAAAACTAATAGTTATGTTTACCTTTGCTGGTCAAAGAGATCTAGACATTTCATTTTTCCTAATCTATGGCCAGGTCTAACAATAAGCTTGGTGTAATACAGATAACTAGTGTGATATATATATATCATATATATATTTTTTTAAATATTTTTTTTAAAATTTCACTTTAATCCTTCAGTTCAGGTCGATACAAAATGACACAGCTACAGAACTGGAAATCACATCTACTAGGAAGACCAAGGGTACATGCTGCTCTGGAGCCTTGGTTCTCACAGTAACACCCCAGCGCGCAGTCCAAATGATCACCATGAAATGACCACTGTCCTCCTATCCCTCAGCATTGCCCTCTCTCAGTTCAGGGATCCATTTTTGTGTTGTTATTGTACAATCTTAGTTACTCATCTGCATTTCAATTGTGTTCCCTTTAAAGCCATTCGGAATATTCTTAGAACTTTTTCTATAATGAAATCTCAGCATCTCTGTCACTTGCTTTTGACCCAAAAATCTTCCTAAGGATGTTTTAAAAAATAAAACGGTGCAGGATAAGTTGTGACTGTTCTATCAAAAAAGTGTTCTCCATTCAAATATAGTGGAGCATTTCTTGGAGGTAAAGGGATTTGTTTACTGCAAGATTATTCTGAGTCTTTAGTATTTCAAGGGTCACTGGGGACTTCTTAGAGCTGTATGAAAAGCATTTACAGCTTCTAAGTCTTTCACAATCATACCCATTCGTGTAGAAGCCTTGGGGCAAAATGTCCGAAGAATCACTCTTTAGCAAGCAGGTGCCTGTAAGCACAAACCTGGGTCCCTCGTTTCTGATGGAACATGCCCTCCATAACCCGCCTCCCTTATTTTGCCGGCCCTGTGTTGCCCTATGTGCTGTAGTCTAGCGGGAGAACCCGTCACGCCTGGGCCACACCATGTGCTTTCTCATCTCTGTGTGATTTCCTGCTGTTCCTTCTGCCTACGAGCACATTTCTCCTTTCTCCATGTAGGATTCTGTCACCTTTCAAGACCCCATCTACATTTCTCCTTTCCTTTGAAGGAGTTCCTCTCTGTTTCCCTAAGACAGAATTCTTTCCTTCTCCCTTCATGTTGTTTCTGAATATTTCTCAAGCTCCTATTATAATCACTGAAGATCATTTATTTATTTCATTAAACATGCATCTCAGTGTTATAAAAACCGCATGCTCAGGATTTAGATTTCCCATAAAAGTGAAAGGTGATCGTATCAATTAGTCTCCATCATGGGTGTTCTCTTGCTCAGTGAACCACACTATGAGCATCCAGGTCATTGAATAGTTCCTTATCTCTGGATCTGGGCCACCCCATCCTCACTTTCTTGCTTTTGGTCACTAGACTTTTGTGGGAAAGGTACATCATGACTTCCAAGGCTAGGTTACACTCATTCTAGGGAAAGGTAACCACCGTGTAAAGAGGTGGAAGACCTTGAGACCACTGCTTTGTAAGGAAGCAGGCTAGTTATGTGGTTGGAGGGAGGAGAGAGAAGGGGAGAGAGAGAGAGAGGAGAGAAGCAGGGAGAAATAGCAAGAGCTCCACAGCCAGTCTGTTTTTCCAGACACTGTAGATAAGGTAACAGACTTGAGAGATCTTATCTTTAGCTGCAGCCCAAACATTATCTGACTATAACTGCAAACTCTTGTGACATCTGTCCCGTTGAATTTGATCAACTTGGAAGTAGGAGAGGACATCTGCTTTGAGATCAGTTGGGGGTAAAGTTGCAAAGACCTTAAAGAGACTATTGGTGAAGCCTGTGATAAAAAAAAAAATGTGTATCTATCTATCATCTATCTGCTGATTTTTTTAGTTGTGCATTTTAATGTTAAAAAAGTATTAAAAAGCAAATAATTTTCAATTTTTAAGTAAAATGCATAAGAAACACTTGTAAATTAGTAGTTTCTAGGTAAAATTTTTTTATTCTCAGCTTTGCCAAGATTCGAGAGAAATGCCTCAGGTAAGCATAAAACTCAAGTGCTACCATAACACACTTCTCAGGGTGACTATTTGGTTTCTTTGATAAGATCTTAAAACATTTACAAACTCCTGGATAGATCTTCAGAGGTAGACCGTGAGTTGGCAAACGTTTTCTATACAAAGGTAGATACTGAATATTTTAGATTCACAGGCTACATAAAACCTTTGTGCTATGTTCTTTATTGTGGTATACGCACATAGCAGTTCACTGTTAGTGACATGCAGCATTCCCACAGAGCTGTGTAACCATCAGCACTATCTAGATGCAGAACATGTTCATCCCTAGGAAAACCTAGACCCTTTCAGCGTAACTCTGTCTCACACCCCCTCCCTCTCCTGGAAAGCCACTAATCTATTCTCTACAGATTTTCCTTCTCTGAGTATTTTATATCAGTGGAACTATTGTGTCTACATTTATTACCACAATGATTTAAGCATCATCCCTGTCGTCACATATGAGTATTTCATTTTTTTATAGATAAGTAATAAATATTCATTTTTGTATATCCAACATTTTCTTATCCTTTATCAATTCAAAGATATTTGGTTGTTTCCATCTTTTGGCTATGATGAAGAATGCTGTTAGGAGCACTTATACACAAATTTTTCTTTTTGAATATTCATTTCAGTACTTCTAGAGATGTACTGAAGAGCGGAATTGCTGAGTCACACTATGCTTTCATTAAATTTACCAACAAATTGCTTAACTGTTGTCTATAAAGACTGCACAGTATTACATCCTAACTAAGGAAGAATGTTTCCAATTTCATCTTATATTTGTCAACACTTGTTATTCACTTTTAAAATTTTATTTTGCCTTTAGTTAAGGCTAGCCTAAAGAAAGATATCTTGAGTTTTGATTTGCATTTCCTTAATTTCCTAATGGCTAATCATGTGGTCCTTTTTTTTTCATATACTTGTGGAACATGTATGTATCTTCTTTAATATAACGTGTGTGGGAGTCACATGAGGATTTTTGTTCACATGTAAACCTGATTCAATGAAGTAATCTTAGACGTTAAGAATAGCTCCTTTATGCAGTGAGACCTCTGGTAGGCCAGGGTGGAGGAATAGCATCTTTTTGCAAGTTGGAGGAATGTAAACATTCATGGCCAGTTAGGTGAATGATGGCTGTGAATCCTCTGTCACAAGAGACACTCACTTCACTATGAAATCTGAGTTAGTCATAGAGTGTTTAACTAATAGTGGGGATAAAAATGATGCTATTCCAATTGTAGTCTTCAGCCTTAGGAAGGCCTGGTAGCTTAAGCTTCTAAGGAGAAGAGGGACCTGATGGCATAGACAGGGAAAAGGCTCGGCCATCCTCGGGCCTAGCATCTTAGTGGCGCGGTTCTAGCACCTCTAGCCAAATTGAATCTGACTGCAGTTGCATGATAGAGTACAGAGAACTCAACAGAAAAGATAACTAGTGGGGTCCATTATAAGGAATCACGAGAGTTTATAAAATGGTTCTTCTTTAAAAGCCTCTTACATTTGGAGGTAAATTATGTAGCACTGACTAAGCCCAAACAATTGAGAAACTCTCTAGGCCCAATTAAATGCTGAAATAAGTGCAGCTGCATAGAAATGATCCTGAAAGACTGACTATGTGCCCAGCGTGGACCTAAAACCCAGACACAGAGGAGTGACACTCTCACGTCAACATCTGTACTAGGCATCAACATCTGTGCAGCCGATCAGAGCAGTGGTCAGAAGGCCCCACAACTGCCTCTGTTTCCCTCACCTGCCTGTCACTAAGCAGATCAGATGCTGGGGGGCTTCTTAAAGGACTGAGTGAAGCTCCCTGATGATTTAAGTAAATGTTTTTTCCTGATGTTAGCAATAAACTTGGAAAGGAGTTTCCGCTCAAGAGTATAGAAGAGTTCCATAGAATCAAGAGGAAGAGAGACCTTAGGGTAACCTGATTTATATAATGTCTGATGTATTTGTATCATAGAAATCGAGCAGTGGAATGAACTCTACCTCCCACAGGCCTTGTCCTGTTGACATCAGCTAAAGAACAGCTAAAATGCAAGTTATCCTGTACTTCTGACACCATGTATGGCTTCTGCATCAGATGGTTCTTTCTATGCTGAAGGAAACTGACACTACAGTCAGGGAGAGAGGTTCGGCATTTGATCAGGTAAGCATATCTGCAGATCAATTTAGAAAGTCCGTGTCTTTATTGTCATGTTTGCTGTCGGTGGTGGTGGTAGTTGTGCTAGAGTTTTATCAATCGCTTTGACTCCTCTATCAGACAGAAGCATTATTTCATGAAGCAAGCAGCCTTTATTTAAGAACTCTAATAATTAGTGAGCAGTCCACTCGGAAGGTTGTGCCCAGATCTGTCTTTCCCAGGGAGGCCAAGTCTCAGCCTGTGGCTTTGGTAGCTCTGCGATGACACCATCCCTGCTTTGAGGTTTTCCTGTGAGTTTCTTAATCAGTGCAAGCCACGTAGCCACGGATGTCATGCAGGGCAGAAGGAACGCAACACAGGAGATGGCATTTGGAGTATGGAAGGGGAAAGAGATGGAGAAGATGAACCCAGGAGTTGTGGCTACCTGTCTTGCTCTGCTCTAAGCTACTTGAGGACAGTTCCACCTCCGTTACTTTTCCAAATATAAGGCACAGTCTTGCTGTATTACTTTAGATGAGAAGCAGTAGTAGATGACGCTGGTTAAATATGTGGACCCTGGATTCAGACTTTCAGGTTCAAATCCCTGCCATACCCAGCTCTTTCTGGGTGATATCAGACTACTTACTTGAGATACATAGAGTCTTTGTTTTTTCTATCATAAAGTGAAGATTATGAATTTATTTCTTGGGGTTATGAAAATTAAATGAGTTCACATCTATTTCTCTCTTTCTCTACTTCTATCTCTACCTATAAATTACTTAAGAAACAACTGACAGGAAAGCACTATGAATTGCTACATATTATTATCACTAACATGAAGCACACATGTGTGATCTCAGAACTCATCTCTGATAAACGGGTGTGACAGTGTTAGGAGGACAAAACACCATCAATCATTGAGCAAAATCATTCCAGACATACTGGTTTTTACAAGGTGGGCATTATTATACCTGCCTTCTGTATAAGAAAATGGTGGCTTAGACAATTTAAATAATGTGTCCAAAATTACAAAGCCAGTAAGTGGCACATCCAAGATTTGTTACTAGCTTGTCCAATTTGAAAACTTATCCTTTCTTCTGTGCTATAAGAAGAATGAAAATGACTCACACTGCTGGATAGTCAGAGAAGATCCCAGCGGAGGTGAGACTGAAAATAACCAAAGAGACCTGAAGACAAAGCTTTCTGTGCAATCTTTTCTAACTTTCTTGACTTTTAAAAATATGTTTAATTTATTGAGTAGAAGAAAAATACTTATTTAAAATTATGCATGTAATCATTCATACTGAACAATTTAATTTTACAGAAGACTTTAAGTTCAGATTTACAAATCTTTTTGTTCTATTTTGAAATCTTCTATTTTAAATATGAGAGTAGGGCATTATCTTTCCAGTAGGCCCTTTGATTATGATTTGATTAACTCAAACTGAACACAGTGAATCCCCTTTTAAGAAGTTATTTTTACAAACTTAATTTACTGTAATACTTTCAACTGCAATATATGTTTATTTCTTAACACTTAAATGCTTGGCAAATACATTTGTTACCTGTAAAATGAAACCTTCCCAAATGTTTAGATGGTTCTGAATTTCTAATAAATAAATCCTTAACATCAGTAATTTTAAAAATGGAATTTTTATCTTTGTTTTGTATAATGCAGACCCTTACATATTCTGATTAGAAAGTGATGTGTACATATATAGTGATATATAAATAATATATGTATTTACATATAAATATAAATTTATAAATACATATGTAGCAATATATATAAATGACATATATTAAGTGAGATATATATATATATATATATATATATATATATATATATGTCACTGTCCCAGTTCAGCTCCTTTATTGGTAGTTATATTTTTAGATAAAACAACTTATTCAAATGATATTTTCTAGATGTTCATTAATCATATATATCTTTCTAGATATTTTTCATAGCATTACTTTAATTGCTGTTTACCATTCATTTAGAAAACTAAACATAAAAATGTTTCAAGATAAAGAGAATGAAGTACTACGACTCTTTCATGTTATTATAAAACAATTTTCTGTCTATTGTATGCACATAAGTTTTAGGTGACCATCAGAAATAAAAAATAGAAATGCAGAAATGAGTGGAATCAGGATTAGCTTTTCCACATGTAGAATAAGATAAAATCCTGAATACTACCCATTAGTTTATATAAATTTGGAGTGCTAAATTATATATAATAATTGATCTAATACACTTAAGAAGAAGGCAGAAAGACAAAACACAGAAAGAATGTAAGCTCCTTAAAGAAGAAACAAAATACATAGATAGATTAATATGATGATCTGGCTAATGGAATTACCATCACTTCATCTTCTTTAAGGAAAGTAAGTTATTTTTTGGCACTGAGAAAAGAGGAAAGGAGTTATTTTGGTAATACTGGATAATAGCTTGAAATCCAAGAGTTACTGAGTGAATGCCTGGACTAAACCATCTTAGTTTAATGTGGAGATGTGTGCGTCTTTGAATCTTTGTAGAAAAATAACTCAGGATTTCTTTATATATTTTGTCTTCTTTTTGTTTGCTCAGTGAATCATCACATGATCTCTTCATGTTTTTCCTCACACCAGTACTGCAGTTCAAGTTTACTGATGATTTTCTAACATTGTTTCTTTCCCCAGGTAAGCAGAATGCCAACAAGGCTTACATGTGTGTGGGAATTACACTCAGGGTCCTCTTGAGGGGCAGAGTCTTGCACAGGGACCTATTGTTTCTGAGGCTATGTAGATTGGGGACAACCAACCGACATAGCCTCGTGCCTTTGGGCATTTACTCTGTGATTGTGGTGGAGCATATGTTTCTGAATTTATTTTAAAGATTTATTTTAAAGATTCAGAGACCTTAAGCTTCTCCCATGAAGATAGTTAGCATCAAAGTTTTCCCCAATGTTTAAGCTCAGTCAATATGAACTGCTGTGCTTTCTCATTTCTTAGTGACAACGAATGCTCACTTTACTTAAAGGGAAAAAAAAGTCACCATCAAGGGATTCTATCACTTTCCATTGTCTTGTGAGAGCTGGATTTTTTCACTGTCATGCTGTCTCAAAACTTACAAAGCTCCTGCATGTAGAACCATGACGATGGAAAATGCACAATTAGACAGAAAAATCCCCAAGAGTAAAAGGAGTGCTTTTTTCTACTGTCTTGCCCAGAGTCACTCAAGTAGGGTCACATACACAAGATTTTATTGAAATGACCAAGAAGGAAAGAGGACAATGAAACTATACTGTGTGTCTACTTTTGCTATTTATAGTTTTGTTTAATCATCTGTAAAACTCAGGTCATAATATATAGAAAAATTAGTAAGTGTACTGTTTTGAATATGAGATTGTGCATATAATGCAATTTTTCATGTTTTACTATTTTATTGATATTTATTTCCATATTAATATTGATTTCATGAAAATGTAGGAAAGAATGACAGACAAATTGAGAAATCATAATTCTAAGAACTAAGCAGTTTTTCATTTCTCTTTAGCTGTGATTTGAACATGTCACCATTAAGAGATTTATCTAAATTTAAGTTCAAGTTATTAAGTTCCAGATTTTCAATTATTGCTAATTTGTTTTTTAAAAAGAATTTCATTTACAAACCAGATGCTTAATTACTTTGAATTCTTATCATTAATCTCATCTTTATAGCAATTTCCATAAGACGTATAAGAAAGAGTATTAGAAGAAAGATTAAGGAGAAACAATCACTGTGGATAAGATAGCAGACATGATTCCCATCTGTAGTGCACTGCTTCCTATTCTTGTTTTCCTTTGATTTCATAAAAGGAAGAAGAGTCTGGAAGCTCTTTTATGATGCCCAGGTAGTTATGAAGGTCTTATGTATATGTACATGCTCATGCTTCTCTGGTTTATTCATGATTTGGTACCATTAGGAGACAGCAAGTAGGAAACAAGTTACCTATAACATGGACTATGATGTTTTTCATGAGAGCTATCCATACTCAACAAACAAAATTTCTAGCTTGATTGAAAATTTTTCTATTGACTTAAGAAAGTGGCATGTGGAAATACAGTATTACTATGGCTATTTTTATTGATTTTCTTGTTTAGTTATTTCATTTGCATAGTAATTTCAGAAAATAAATATCAAAAGGGGCAAGAAAGTTAAGAATGCTAAACTTTTCCCATATTCAGCAGACTTTACAGACAGTGTGACATTAGACAAAATTTTTTCAGTTTTGAGTTTATAGAAGTTTACACTGTCTTGTTATGTTTGATATGATAGTGTATGAAGGTATACTCAAATATTTCAAGGAAAGAGACACTATGGTAGCTACTGTTATGTCAGACTGTCTTGTGGTGAAACACTATGTTGCTTAAATTATTCTGTTCTGACCTGTGTTGTTATGTCCTCTTTATCTTAATCTTTTTAAAATAAAAATTAAAAAAGAAGTTTAATCTTAGCTAATAGACTACTTTTACAACAGTATTATTAATAATGCATATCAAAGGTAGCCAAATTAGGAAAATTAGTAAGCTTATTCTATTTATATTGGAAAGATCTCTCTCTCTCTCTTTCTCTCTCTCTTTTCACTTTGTTGGCCACACAACAATAAATGCTCAATAATGCTCATATACAGACAGTAATTTCGAGCACCTGAGTGGTTTTGTGTTTGACCTATCACACTGCTCTTGAGAATACATGAACATGTATTACTTAGTATTTATTACTGGATGCAAGTGACTCACCACTTTTGGGGATAGAAAGAATTCAGAGAAAGGGTCACCTAGAAATGGTTTATGCATTAATGACGGTTCTTTACTATTTTCATTCAGATTGTTGTGAACTTATTTGGGGAGGGTTGTGTAATAGACTCACTACTTATTAATAAAATGAACTAAAACATTCTCAGTAGCATTGTCGGTAGGTCAGAGCAAATGAAATTACTAATCTTTGAAAGCCAATAAGAAGCATTCAGACTCCAGAGTAGATATCAGTGCAACCC